GGAGGCTCCGGGCCCCTTGGATGCCGCCGAGATGGGCAAGAAGCTGTCCAAGATCTTCGGCAACAAGGAGATGCGGATCCTGATGCTGGGTCTGGACGCGGCTGGTAAAACCACCATCCTGTACAAACTGAAGCTGGGCCAGTCCGTCACCACCATCCCCACCGTGGGCTTCAACGTGGAGACGGTTACTTACAAAAACGTCAAGTTCAACGTGTGGGATGTCGGGGGCCAGGACAAGATCCGGCCCCTCTGGAGGCACTACTACACGGGCACGCAGGGGTTGATCTTCGTGGTGGACTGCGCCGATCGCGACCGCATTGACGAGGCCCGCCAGGAGCTCCACCGCATCATCAACGATAGGGAGATGCGGGATGCCATCATCCTCATCTTCGCCAACAAGCAGGACCTGCCTGATGCCATGAAACCCCACGAAATCCAGGAGAAACTGGGCCTGACCCGAATCAGGGATAGGAATTGGTACGTGCAGCCCTCCTGTGCTACTACAGGGGATGGACTCTATGAAGGGCTGACATGGTTAACATCCAATTATAAATCCTAATGAGAGAATAACTATTTAGTCTACAAAGAATTAAAGAATAAAAAAGAAATAACCCACATGGCTTTCCGGAAGAATGATTCTCTACTGAAAAGTAAAACAAAAGCATCCATAGGATTACGATCACCTTTCTCCAGTTACCACCCTTTCCTTCTGCACACTTGACTGGATTCCCGTTTTAACTCTTCTTGCTTGGCGTTAGGATGCTCTAATCTCCGAATGTGACACGAACACAAGCACTAGATGCTATGGCAGACTTCCAGCAAACAGGGGAAAGACACATTGTAGACTTGCTAAGTAACTTTTTTTTTTTTTTTTTGGCTTTCCCTCTTGATAGCCCTTAAGATGGTTTGATTATTTTGCGGGATGGTTGGGGGAGGGGTACTGTTTTCAGTGTATGCTTTCTGGTTCTACTTTTTTGATTATATATTTTTTTTTTCCTTCTTTCACTTGCTGTAGATTGCTACTTTTTTGCATTCACGCAGAATATGTTGATAGGTCGACTTCATCTAGTAAACTGAAAATTATTGCTTAAAATCAAACTGCAGTCTGTCTTTTTATATTAAGGACTTTTTTTAAAGTTCTGTTAATCTGTAACTAAATAGTGACTCTCAGTCTGTCTTCATATCTCAGACTAATAATGAAACGAATCCTTGCCTGCAGTGGCAGATAGCGAGAATACCATTGTAACATGTTCAAAGTGCATATCGGGCGTAATGTTAACTAGGTAATGCAAGAACTGCTTTGAGATGTCAGCTGTGAAGTTCTGAACCATACATCATGCATGAGAAGGGATGCAAATGAGTTCCCCATACTACATAGCAACCATATAGCAAATAAGACATGAATGATGTAATAGTTCCAGGGTAGATACTGTTCAGTTTTTGTCTTGCATTGCAAACTTAAATGAAGTTTAGCTGCAGTTTTTACTGCTCGTGTCAGTCTCCGATTCCATGCAAGATAGGTTCCTTCCAGAAAACGCAGCAATAACGTGTGAGCGTTGCAACAAGTTTTACATTCAAACACAGAGATTTAGGCAAAAATCCAGCACCGACTTGCCTGTCTTGCGATCGAGACGGATCGCTTTCATCTCGAGACAGTTGAAGGCGTCTAAATCTTAAAAGGATTTCTGATTCTTTCTGACACGTGTGTAGTGCAGAAAGAAATTTTTTTTTTTCTTTTTGTAGACTTCCAAAGGGGCAAGTTCCGTGCTGAGCTGTAACTGAGCTCAGTAATTCTGACACCTGCATAATAGCCATTTTGAGGAAATCACTCATGGTTTTGTTTTCCAAGGCTTGACTGAACTCCTGCAAGTAGTTGCAGTCTTCTCCATCTGTCTTGGTAACCGGTTGTTGCTGTAGTCCTGTAGGAAGGGAACTGTGTTGGATGTCTGAAGCCCATTGAGTAACTACTAACAGAGCAGGGAGGAGAGAGAGAGAGAGAGAGAGAGTAGACGACTATGAATGTAAACTTCCATAATTAGTTCTTAAAGGGCAAGCATCTCATTTGCCATATCACAGTTTGCAGATGTGACTGGCAAAAAGAAAACCCCACCCAGAACAAGTATTAGTATAAAAGCTCGATCAAGTATTAATGCTGGGTGCCGAAAACGTTCAAGCAGCTGGTTCTTATTCAGCCTTAAGGATTAACTTCAGATTTCCTCAAGGAGTTAAACTCGACTGGGGAATTCTAGGAATGTATGCTACAAAACCAGAAGAAAATGGCTTTTTTTTCTCTTTTTTTTTTTTTTCCAACTTTTCCAAGGATATGAGTTTTACATGAAATTGGGGGCATTACACTACATTTCTGCGGTGTTGACTCTGCATGCTAAGTACGTTGTATATGGAGCTCTTACCAAAGATGTATGGGAAGATAAAAATACTGAGTTCACTTCTGAAATTGAGTGCTTTGGACCACTTAAAAGTTCCTTTAGAATATGGTTCCAAAAGACTTATCTCGGTGTCGGTTGCAAATGGGAATGAATGGGTTCTTGACGCTAGAAGATAGAGCACTGATTGACTGGAAGCCTTCCGAAGTTAAAGAGAGTCTGCGAAAGCCTAGTGCAGAGCAACTCTTAAATCTCAGCTCTAAAGAGGAGGTGAGGAGGGTTTTGGTGTTGTGTTTTGTTGTTTTTGTTTTTTTTTGTTTCTCCACTCAAGGCTTTTTTTTTTTTATCTTTTGTTTTTTTTTTTTTTTTTTTTTTTTTTTTTTTTTTTGCTGTTGATGTAACTTAACAAATAGTGTGGTGGTATAAAGACTAAAAATACAAGAATATGGTTACTGTTTTCTTCTGGAGCATAAATAAAATAGCCAAGCACAAAGTAAATGCCTAAACTGGAAAACTTGAAGCTCTATTAATGGCTCTTGAACTTTCTTGAATCTATTCTCAGTCAACATGAAAACTTCAATAACTTCATTTTTCATCTAAGTTGATTTACTATGTTTTCAAGTGCTGGGGCAGACTTCTTTGCTAGACTTTGCATTAAGTTGAATTCACAATTTTGTATTTCCTTAGTAACTTTGTTATTCTGTTTTTGTAGGTGAAAGGAAACTGGTTATGCTTCTGAATTTTTTAAATGTCTTTTTTTGGGGGGAGAAAAAGTTACTGAAACGTGTGGCAGAGACGTCAGAAATAAATGGCCGTTGCTACTGAACAAAATGCAAAGGTTTCACTTTCAACATGTCCTTTATAGGTTGTGGCTGAACCTCGCCACGAACTGGTGGCTGTCGGGCGGTAAACACAGCCTGTAGGATAAAGTGGCAATCTGTAAGAAATCCTATGATTTAAAAACTGATCTGGAGTTTAAGTGCATCAATTTGTGTTCATGTGAATTTATGGAGTAAGTTTTGAATGGCGTTAATCGTGTCTGATAAGTGAATGAGTTTGTAGACTGTGATCTCCCTGACTAAAGTAAACAGGAATTTTGTGTTCTCAATATGGCTGTAGTGTTGGTAAAGAACTAATAAGCAGAAAATAAAGCAATTATACAGCGGAGCTCTCCTGGTATGTTACTTATATTTAATTGTGAGAGAAACAGAAAGGGGCAATATGGTGCTGGAGTAGGGCGTTCCGCCGACATAAAGAGGTCTCTGTTCTGTATCTCACAGTTTTGAAAGCCTGTCTGTAATTCCTCTGAGACTTAGATTAGCGACTATTTTTATAAGTGGAAAGGATGATACTCCTGTAATACTCCCACTTGCAGTTCACAGTCTTCAGCAGACCTTAGTGTTGAGTTTGTGCCGCCTCGGTGCCAGCCCCGCATCGATGATGAGTTGAGGAGTGAATAGGGGTGCTTGTGGAGTGACAGATGTGAAGCCGGGACGTCTTCGGCGCCTGAATAGGAGCGATAAAAGGACTCGGGCAGGTGCAGCGGGGCCTTAAGGCGGTGCGCG